ACCAATATTTCACAAACTTGTTTTAAAAAAAGGGAGCAGGGACCACTTCCCAATTCATTTTATGAGGCCAGTATTACCCTGCTGCCAGAACCAAAGATAACAAGGAAAGGAAATTAAATACCAATATCTCTTGTGAATATAGGTACAAAAAATCCTCAACAAAATATTAGCAAACTGACTCCAGCAACATGTGAAAAGGATTATACAACATGACCAAGTGGGATTTGTCCCAGAAATACAGGTTGATTTAACATATGAAACTCAATCAATGCAATATACCATATTAACAGAAAAGGAAAACCATACAACCATTTCAATAAATGCAGGAAAAGCACTGTACAAAATACAACACCTTTTCATAATAAAAACATTCATGAAACTAAGAATAATAGGGAATATCCTCAACTTGATATAAGGCAACTATAAAAACCCACAGCTGGGCTTCCCTGGTGGCACAGTGTTTGAGAGTCCGCCTGCCGATGCAGGGTACACGGGTTCGTGCCCTGGTCCAGGAAGATCCCACATGCCGCAAAGCAGCTGGGCCCATGAGCCATGGCCGCTGAGCCTGTGTGTCCGGAGCCTGTGCTCCACAACGGGAGAGGCCACAACAGTGAGAGGCCCGCGTACCGCAAAATAATAATAATTAATAATAATAATAATAATAATAACACAATACTTAGGAATAAATTTAATAAGTGCAAGACTTGTATGCCAAACACTATAAAACCAGTGAAAGAAATTAAAGAAAACCTAAGTAAATGGAAAATTGTTCATGTGTTGGAAGATTTAACGTTGATTTACAGATTCAACTGAATCCCTATCAAAATCCCAGCAGGCTTGCTTTTTTTTTTTTTTTTTTGCAGAAATTAGCAAATTGAAGGAAAAATTCACTTGGAAATGCAAGTAGCCAAAATAATCTTGAAAAATTAAACATACAAATACTTTTTTTTTTTTTTTTTTGCGGTACGTGGGCCTCTCACTGTTGTGGCCTCTCCCGTTGCGGAGCACAGGCTCCAGACGCGCAGGCTCAGCGGCCATGGCTCACGGACCCAGCCGCTCTGCGGCATGTGGGATCTTCCCCGACCGGGGCACGAACCCGCGTCCCCTGCATCGGCAGGCGGACTCTCAACCACTGCGCCACCAGGGAAGCCCCTATTTTTAAAATAGTATATAATACAAGGAATTATTAGAAATTATATTGGATTTCATCACAAATTTCTAAGGCCAAACACTAATTATTCAAATATCTCCTTTCTAAATTTGCATTTCAATTAGTGTGATTTTTTAAAAACATCTTATAGCTTCAGTTTAGCTATAAGATATTAAAAAGTTAAAAGATATTAAATTTTAGTTTGCTTTTACCAGTGACAAGTATTGTTTCCTTTACGGTTATTTCATTTGAATGGCCAGCTGATGAATCTAATTTATCTATTTAGTAGAAAATTCCGAAAGATAATTCCTTTTATAAGAATTTCTAGTAAAATCTACAAACCATTTATAATTACCAATTCTCAATGCTGCTTAATATTTTGAAATAATACTATTTGAAGTGTGATTTCAGTAATTAAAAATACTATTTAAAATCTAATACATATTTCACCAATTTATCTCTCCTTTCAACAATTATTGCTTAATATCCCTCTGTACTTTCCCCCTCCAAGTTAAGAGCAAAACAGCTCTCAAGTCATCATGAAGTTTAAAAAAACATTCTCTCTTTTTTTTTAAACAAGTGAGACTACTCAAAACTTCAAAGTATGTGTTTAGCATTTGAACTTCAGGACTTCTTGTATTCAAATTCCTTTAAAATGATTTTTATCTTTCCCTCAATGATATTTAAAGTTCTTGCCTGTATTTTACCAAGGAGGAATTAAAACTGATATTTAATTACCAGAGTATCCCTCTAACTATTCTATCTCTCTTTGTGTATTCAAAATGGAAGAAATGTTTTAAATATTGTGCTTCAGGTCTGGCAACCAATTGTGTAAGTTGTTGTATGAATCCTTCAGAATGGATAATGCAGCTTTCCTGACTGGAATGGAACGGTTTTGCAGGTAGTCATTCTCTTTATCATTATTGCCTCTTCCATGCAGATATAATAGTTTTTTCTGATAACTTTGGCAGTTTGGCAAAATAATCCATGATGCAATGTTAAACTATCATCTTAGGCCACCTTTCTTGATTTTAACTTTACACACTGATAACATTTCAAAAGATCTATACATAGGTATTTATATATATATATATATATATATATATATATATATAAAAGGCTACAGGGAATTAATTATTCATGTCACTCTTAGTTTTCTTTTTAAACCTAATTAATGATCTCAACAAAAGACTCTTAGTTTTCCTTTCAATTTCTAAATTTTGTAAGCACCTCTTTTTGCTGGTACCTATCTCTAAAGGGAGACAAACTATTTAAAAGATTCTTATATTAATTGAAAATTTGAATACAAATATATTTCACCTATGATATCTGTGTACCCAAGGCATGGCTGAAGTTTGGATCTAAATTACCTAAAATGTTGTTCACCTCTCTAATTCCACTTAGTTAGATCAAAGAATGGATTCTGGAGCCATTCTGTAAGAGTTTGAATCCTACCTTTGCCATTTTCACATGGTGTGTGACTATGGGCAGATTATTTAAACTTTCTATTCCTCAATGTCTTTGTCTATAAAATGTGCCTAATAAGAGTGCCCACCTCATAGGGTTGTTTGAGGGATAAAATGAGTTAGTGTATGTAAAATGCTTAGAATATTATCTGGCATATAGTGACAAATATATGTTAATATTACCTAGATTTCATTTGTTTTGGATTGACAAAAGGGATTGAAAAGAGCTAATTTGCAACACTATTACTATGTCAGCATATAGGAATAAGTAAACAAAATCTAGTTTGAATTTTGTCCTGAACTCTTTAACTTTAACTAGAGCTCAGTTAATATAGTATGAAACAATTTTTTGTTTCATTCAGGAAATTTGCTTTCCATTTATATCTAAAATAATATTCTTTTTTTCTTTTCAGTATGTTTTTTTTTTCATTTCACTTAATGTTGATATACATTTCTCTGATTTGCCTTAAGCATGAAAGAAAATTCTACAGCATATTAATATTACTATTATTGCTATTACTAGATCTCTTACAACAGGAATTAACAGAGCTAGAGTAAAAGTAAATTTATTTGAACAGTGCTTATCGTGTATTATACTCTCATCTCTCAGAATTCTGTATTCAGTGTCAGACATGTTCATGGCTGAATGCATGATCTCACAGTAATCTTCTAATATAGGTAGAAATATGATCATTAGAGTGGATTAATTAATTTATCCAAATGATATTTACTGAATGACTACTATAGTCCAGGCTTCTTTCAAAAATAATGTTTCCTGGGACTTCCCTGGTGGACCAGCAGTTAAGGCTCCATGCTTCCACTGCAGGGGACACGGGTTCGATCTCTGGTTGTGGAATTAAGACGGCGTATGTGCGCAGCATGGTCAAAAAAAAGTAAATAATAATAATAATAATAATTTTTCCTAATATTTTATATCATTATCAGGATCTAAGATTACTGACATGATTTTAAAATAATTCATTAAATGTGAATCATAATTTATGAAGTTAATTAATTAAATTATAAGATATTTAAGGAGGAGAAATCCCATAAGTGGTACTCCATTCAATATACTAATTGTAACTAGTAAACTGATTAACTGTGTCTCAGTTAACTTACTGTATCAGGGAAATCACAATAGCTGCATGCTGCACTGAAATCCATTTAATAAACAAGTCTCTCCTCTTCACCATATATAAGTAGGCAAAGCTTGAGGTACCCTTTGCTCACACATTAAAATGTTTTAAATCACTGCTTATTGTCTTCCCGCAAATTGGCTAGTCAAGGAATGTGATATCTGGGCTACAAAGGATCAATGTGGTAAGAAGCAAACTCATTATTAAATACAGATATCTAGCTAAATCAGCTTAAACTTAAAGGCTTTACCTTAATAAAATTCTATGATTTTCACTCAATTTTGTCCTGATATTATCCTGATAATAGTCAAGTAGAATAATCAAGTCCTATCACCCTCGAGCTTCTGTTTCTTTATCTGTAAAAATCCTTTCATTTCCTCTCTGGATCTAAGAATCTGATTCTAATACTATTTGACCTCCTTAATATTTTAATGTGGGTTCATACTGTAAAAGGACTTATAACAAAGCAGGATGCCTCTTTATTCAACTGTATTACTGTTTGCACACCAGTGTAAAAAGATAGGACCTGAGGCCAGGTGGTACAGAACACCTTACACAAACTTTTTGCAACATCATAAATTTCTCACATACTTGGAAATAAACAGATAAAACTAAAATTAATTATAATTTTATAAGAGTTTATCTCCCCTGCTTAGATTATGACAAAGGGGAAATGGAGTTCTTTAAGTTCCACTTATAAGGGTATGGGGAGAGGAAGATAGCCCCTTGCTTTGTGCTCACAATTATTCTAGCTCATGCAATGTAATGGAATAACCTATACCTTAAGCTATTTAATGGAATAACAAAACTTTTAAAAGTTCTAGGGCTTCCCTCTTGGCGCCGTGGTTGGGGGTCCGCCTGCTGATGCAGGGGGCGCGGGTTCTTGCCCTGGTCTGGGAGGATCCTGCATGCCGCGGGGCGGCTGGGACCGTGGGCCATGGCCACTGGGCCTGCGCGTCCGGAGCCTGTGCTCCGCGGCGGGAGAGGCCACAGCGGTGAGAGGCCCGCGTCCCCCCCAAAAAAAAAAAAAAAAAAAAAAAAAAAAAGTTCTATACACTTTTTTAAAGGGCTTACATTTGGACACTTCCAAAATAGGCTGACTTGAGACTACAGTATTAGTTTCTCAATAAGGACGCAGGGTGGCGCTGCCGGCTAAGACTGTGAATAAGGAGCCCTAAAAAGCTCCCGTGTTCCTTTGTTGCCAGACGAAATCAACACCACACAGAAGAAGCTTTGCCAGCCGTGCTGGGTTACCAACGAGTTTGGGTAGCGATATACTAAACGACTTTAAGATTAAAGGCAATTTTGTGAAGATTCTACCAAGCAAGAAGTCAGAATTTAATACCTCGGGTCTTTTTGTGGTTGCTGAAGGGGTTGGATGTAAGCACTCTGGCTCCAACATGGAGACGCTAGAGAGAATTCAACAAAACAGGCAAGTGATGACCTTTATTTTGATGGTATTCTTATCTCAGGCTCACCCTGCGCCTATTCGTTATTCTGTGCTGGAAGAAACAGAGAGCGTCTCCTTTATAGCCCATTTGACCAAGGACCTGGGCCTGGGAATTGGGGAGCTGGCCGCCCGGTCGGCCCAGGTGGTGTGTGACGATGACAAGCAGCGCTTGCTGCTAGATCGCCAGACTGGAGATTTGCTTTTGAGGGAGAAACTAGACCGGGAAGATATATGTGGCCCCGTTGAACCCTGTGTGCTGCATTTCCAAGTGTTCCTGGAAACTCCGGTGCAATTTTTTGAAGGAGAACTATTAATCCAGGACATAAATGACCACTCCCCAGTATTTCCGAATAGGGAAATGCTACTGAAAATACCGGAAAACAGCCAGCCAGGGACTGTTTTTCCGTTGAAATTAGCTCAGGATTTGGATGTGGGCAGCAATGGTCTTCAAAAATACACTATCAGCCCCAATTCTCATTTTCACGTTATCACTCGAAATCATAGTGAGGGCAAGAAATATCCAGATTTGGTGCAGGACAAAGCACTGGATAGAGAGGAGCAGCCTGAGTTCAGCTTAACCCTCGTGGCGCTGGATGGTGGGTCTCCACCTAAGTCTGGCACCAGCATGTTACGAATCCTGATCATGGATGTCAATGACAATGCTCCTGAGTTTGTGCACACTCCATATGAGGTGCAGGTTCTGGAAAACATCCCCCTAGACTCCCCAATACTTACTGTTTTAGCTAGGGATGTAGATGCTGGAAACTTTGGAACTGTTTCCTATGGCTTGTTCCAAGCATCAGAGGAAATTAAACAAACTTTCTCAATAAATGAAGTCACAGGAGAAATCCGACTGACCAAGAAATTGGATTTTGAACAAATTAAATCTTACCACGTGGAAATTGAGGCTACAGATGGAGGAGGCCTTTCCGGAAAAGGCACTGTAGCCATAGAGGTGGTAGATGTGAATGACAACGCCCCTGAATTTACCATACCTTCACTCACCTGCTCCATCCCAGAAAATGCTCCTGAGACTGTAGTCTCCATCTTCCGAATTCGAGATAGAGACTCCGGAGACAATGGAAGAATGGTTTGCTCTATTCCAGATAATCTGCCATTCATTCTAAAACCGACTTTAAAGAATTTCTACACCCTGGTAACAGAGAGCCCTCTGGACAGAGAGAGCAGAGCCGAGTACAACGTCACCATCACCGTCACAGATATGGGGACACCGAGACTGAAAACCCAGCACACCATAACCGTGCTGGTGTCCGACGTCAACGACAACGCCCCCGCCTTCACCCAGACCTCCTACACCCTGTCCGTCCGCGAGAACAACAGCCCCGCCCTGCACATCGGCAGCGTCCGCGCCACAGACAGAGACGCGGGCGCCAACGCCCAGGTCACCTACTCGCTGCTGCCGCCCCTCGACCCGCACGTGCCCCTGGCCTCCCTGGTATCCATCAACCCGGACAACGGCCACCTGTTCGCCCTGAGGTCCCTGGACTACGAGGCCCTGCGGGCGTTCGAGTTCCGCGTGGGCGCCGCCGACCGCGGCTCGCCCGCGCTCAGCAGCCAGGCGCTGGTGCGCGTGCTCGTGGCGGACGACAACGACAACGCGCCCTTCGTGCTGTACCCGCTGCAGAACGCCTCGGCGCCCTGCACCGAGCTGGTGCCCAGGGCGGCCGAGGCGGGCTACCTGGTGACCAAGGTGGTGGCGGTGGACGGCGACTCGGGCCAGAACGCCTGGCTGTCGTACCAGCTGCTCAAGGCCACGGAGCCCGGCCTCTTCGGCGTGTGGGCGCACAACGGCGAGGTGCGCACGGCCCGGCTGCTGAGCGAGCGCGACGCGGCCAAGCACAGGCTGCTGGTGCTGGTCAAGGACAACGGCGAGCCGCCGCTCTCGGCCAGCGTCACGCTGCACGTGCTGCTGGTGGACGGCTTCTCGCAGCCCTACCTGCCGGCCCCGGAAGCGGAAGCGGCGGACGCGGCCCCGGCCGCCCAGCTCACCGTCTACCTGGTGGTGGCCTTGGCGTCGGTGTCGTCGCTCTTCGTCTTCTCGGTGCTGGTGTTCGTCGCGGTGCGGCTGTGCAGGAGGGGCGGGGCGGCCTCGGTGGGTCGCTGCTCGGTCTCGGTGAGTCGCTGCTCGGTGCCCGAGGGCCCCTTTCCGGGCCACCTGGTGGACGTCAGCGGCACGGGGACCCTGTCCCAGAGCTGCTACCAGTAGGTGTGTCTGACGGGAGACCATGAAACTGGTGAGTTCAAATTCCTGAAGCCAGTATTTCCCAAACTCTTGGTTCAGAACACAGAGAGAGAAATTAAAAGAAACCCCCAACTGCAAGAATAGTTTTCTTCGGTTACGTGTCGTATTTGGTCAAGTGAGCCTCTCAATTTTGTTAAACCTGACTCACATTGCGTTACTTTCTCTTGAGATTGTATTGTTGTAGAAATATGTATATCTCTATTGCAAATTATGCATGTCTCTGTGCTAAATCTTCCTTTTATTAATATTCATTGGATTTAGCATTTTTAGTTACACTTGATATTATGTATTTCTCCATATTTGACCTTCTCTTGGTGATTAATCTTTCCATAACTATAAATTACTCAAGTAGTGTAAGAAGAAATTTTATTTAAAGGAACTTCTTGGTTAATGTCTTTTCAGGGTAACATTTTAAAGCTTCTGTGTAACCTTACATTTCTATATATTTTTGGTGCTTGTCTTTACCACATAGCTTTATATTTGCTAGGCCAGAATGTTTGAAATTCTTTGTAGCTACCTAGACCTTTCTTGTTCACTATTTTACCAGGCTATGCCCCCCTGAATAGCCGTGAACATATAAATTAGCATACTTGTTTCTCCCAAATTGTACCTAAATATGCACTTTATTAAATTATTCATACACTACAGTTGTGACCATATCCCATTGTGAGCACCGTATATGCTAGAGATTATCTTGTTTGCTACTTACGTAGCACATTGTAATTGCTCCATAAATACTCACTGATATTAAAATAAAAATTATTCTCATTTATAAATAACAATTAAAGAGAAAATCTTTTATAACTTGGTATCACTTCACTAAAATAAAACTAAGTCACTGCTTGGTAAAATACTTAAAATCTTAGAACCTTAAGTAAACCCTAAATCCTTTAAAAGGACTCAAGAGGTAGAGGGCATATACTTTCTTGTCCTTCCTTTTGCCCTATTAACAGAAGTTCAAATGTAGTTTAACGTATGTGTTTTTCTTGGTTTTCCTGCAGCTTCTCTGCGTGTTTCAAGAGTCAGAATTTCTTCTCAGTTTTGGTTATTATGTTCTAGTCTGATTGCTCATTTTAAGTTACTCTGCAAACATGGGCAGCTTTTATGAACAAAATGATGATTTATTTTTGATCTCCAAGTCACCTTGTTCTTCAGTGTAGCGTTTGGGTATTTTGCATAAATTTACTTTTTCAATTATGCTATAACTTTTAGTAGTAAGAAATAAGCATTGTTTTTTCTTTTAAAACAACAAGAATAGAAATAGAAATTAAGATAAACTTATCTGAATTATAATTGTTTCATGTTGTGTTTATTAAGCCAAGCAAGACGATTATGTGGTTTCCAACTAAATTTATATGGATGTAACTATAAGACCAGTTATTGAACTTTTGGCACAATGTGAGTAATTAAAGAGCCTGCTTTATAACCTAAGTATTTATTTTTAGATCTTGTGTCATCCTCCTGGAATTTAATTACTTGCATGTTTCTCTGAATTACATTTTTTCTAAGGATATAATGAAACAAAAAAGGAAAATTACTGTTTAAGTTATTATTGAAACATAGCTTTTAGCCTTCATCCAATCTAACACTTGAAATTAGAAAGTGATAAAAATGAGAACAAAATTAAACACAAACAAATATATGACATAAATATGGTAGTCAAATTTAACTTCCCCATTTACTTTGACTTCTCCATTTACTGTTAGATATTTAAATGAAATAGTTTTTATGTATGATGACAAGAAATGTGATTGAAGTTTTCAGCAATATATTTCAACATTTTGAACATCTAAGTTCATGTTTTTGTTTATGCCAGGAAAGTCCAATTTGTATAATCACCCAAATGAGACTGGCCAAACACTCAGAACCACATTTATGAATTTATATGAGTGTGTATATATAAGGATGGATCATTCCTTACTAGCTGGGGATCACCACCAGTCTTTGGTGTAGAACAGATCAACATTTTAAAATTCAATGATTATAATTTAATAGTAAATATAATCCAAATAACTTCCACAAAATGAATACCTTAAGAAAAACAGGCCAGTTCTACTTTTGCAAAACAAAAATAGAGAATGGAGGCCAAATATCTGGATAATAATACCCATTTCAATCATAGTTTCTCAAGTGCTTCTATTATATGTGCATTTTTTACAATTCCTTTGTTGTTGTTTTTAGGCATAGCATATAGTGAGCTTAACACATGCTGTTTTAGGCACAGAAATTCTACTGAAGGCAATATAACCCACATCACTTTAAGACCCTCTATTTCTTACTACCAGAAATTACAAAATATAGATTTTAAATAGTCTTAAATTATAAGTTATGCACATATTTGGTGGAATTGTTTCCAGGTTAGATGGATTATCTAACAGCAGAAAACAACAATAAAAGCTGTTTTAAATTCAGAAATTACCAGTTTCAAGCAACAGACAGCAGATGATATAAAAAGAACTGAAAGTGCTAAGATTCCTGAAAAGGAAAATCCTTGGAGTTCTGAACTGACTCCTACAGTCAATTTGCCCTAAGGAAATTTGCAAACTCAAAGAACAGACAAAAGGCTTCTGCCAGGGATGGGGTAACTTCAATAGCCTTTGGCAAACTGGAGGATTCAAGCTCAAGGCCAGTTTTCCCCCTCATGATGCTTGTCAAATTCTGGGACATTCCAGGGAAGAAGACTAAAAACTTGAAGGAAAATTTCTGAAAAGCAGAGTGAAGTTTTAATAGTCTTAATGCATGAAAATTAGAGTTTGTGACCTGCCATGGGAAAGGCTGTGGAGAATACACTGAGTTCTGAACTGAAAATTCTGAACGGTCAGGTGCTTTTCAGGACTGCAAAGAACCTTGACTAAGCACAGTGCTTGTTTGAATTAAGGCAATTTGATTAGACATGACTCTATCAAGCTAACAGAGGAAAAGGTGAACTCTTTCTGGAAGAAAATAATATCATCTGGATCCTGGACAGCTTTTTACATTTATCTTCAGCATTCAATAAAAAATTATGAGGCACACATACAAAAAGGCTGGTTGACATGAATAAAACCTAGAGGAAAAAACAGACAATACAGAAAATCTACAGATAAAATACATACTAGAATTTACTGACAGTGATGTTAAAATAAGTATGACTGATATGTTAAAATAAGGAATACAGAAAATAGGTAGAAGAGAATTTCACTAGAGAATGGAATAAATTGGAAATTAATTTTGGGACTGAAGAATATAATAACTGAAATTTTAAAATATTAGATTGTGTAATGGCATAGTAGTTGGAAAGGATTATAGGATTAGTGAATGCAAGACAGGCCAATATTAAATATCCAAATAGAAACACTGAGGAATGAAATAATTAAAAATACAGACAAGAACATTTAGTGACATGTGGAACATAATGAAAAACTCCAACACACATATGATTGTAATCCTAGAAGGACTAGGAATGGGGAATAAGCAATGTTTAAAGAAATAATGACCAAGAATTTTTTCCAAAAATGGTGAACAAAATGTACCACTCAAGATGCTCAATGAAACCCAATTAGGAGAATAAAAAACAATGGTAGATGGGAGTGTTTCCTTAATTTCTCTTTCATCATTAGTGTATAGGAATGCAAGAGATTTCTGTGTATTAATTTTGTATCCTGCTACTTTACCAAATTCATTCATTAGCTCTAGTAGTTTTCTGGTAGCATCTTTAGGATTCTCTATATATAGTATCATGTCATCTGCAAACAGTGACAGTTTTACTTCTTCTTTTCTAATTTGGATTCCTTTTATTCTTTTTCTTCTCTGACTGCTGTGACTAAAACTTCCAAAACTATGTTGAGTAATAGTGGTGAGAGTGGGCAACCTTGTCTTGTTCCTGATCTTAGAGGAAATGGTTTCAGTTTTTCACCATTGAGAACGATGTTAGTTGTGCGTTTGTCATATATGACCTTTATTATGTTGAGATAAGTTCCCTCTATGCCTACTTTCTGGAGAGTTTTTATGATAAATGGGTGTTGAATTTTGTTGAAAGCTTTTTCTCTATCTTTGAGATGATCATATGGTTTTCATCCTTCAGTTTGTTAATATGGTGTATCACATTGATTGATTTGCATATATTGAAGTATCCTTGCATTCCTGGGATAAACCCACTTGATCATGGTGTATGATCCTTTTAATGTGCTGCTGGATTCTGTTTGCTAGTATTTTATTGGGGATTTTTGCACCTATGTTCATCAGTGATATTGGCATGTAGTTTTCTTTTTTTGTGACATCTTTGTCTGGTTTTGGTATCAGGATGATAGTGGCCTCGTAGAATGAGTTTGGGAGTGTTCCTCTCTCTACTATATTTTGGAAGAGTTTGAGAAGGATAGGTGTTAGCTCTTCTCTAAGTGTTTGATAGAATTCGCCTGTGGAGCCATCTGGTCCTGGGCTTTTGTTTGTTGGAAGATTTTTAATCACAGTCTCAATTTCAGTGGTTGTGATTGGTGTGGTAATATTTTCTATTTCTTCCTGGTTCAGTCTCAGAGGGTTGTGCTTTTCTAAGAATTTGTCCATTTCTTCCAGATTGTCCATTTTATCGGCATATAGTGCTTGTAGTAATCTCTCACAATCCTTTGTATTTCTGCAATGTAAGTTGTTACTTCTCCTTTTTCATTTCTAATTCTGTTGATTTGAGTCTTCTCCCTTTTTTTCTTGATGAGTCTGGCTAATGGTTTATAAAGTTTGTTTATTTTCACAAAGAACCAGCTTTTAGTTTTATTGATATTTGCTATTGTTTCCTTCCATTTACCATTGCAACAAAAAGAATAAATTACCTAGGAATAAACCTACCTAAGGAGACAAAAGACCTATATGCAGAAAAATATAAGACACTGATGAAAGAAATTAAAGATGATACAAACAGGTGGAGAGATATACCATGTTCTTGGATTAGAAGAATCAACACTGTGAAAATGACTATACGACCCAAAGCAATCTACAGATTCAATGCAATCCCTATCAAACTACCACTGGCATTTTTCACAGAGCTAGAACCAAAAATTTCACAATTTGTATGGAAACACAAAAGACACCGAATAACCAAAGCAATCCTGAGAAAGAAAAACGGAGCTGGAGGAATCAGGCTCCCAGACTTCAGATTATATTACAAAGCTACAGTAATCAAGACAGTATGGTACTGGCACAAAAACAGAAATATAGATCAATGGAACAGGACAGAAAGCCCAGAGATAAACCCACACAAATATGGTCACCTTATTTTTGATAAAGGAGGCAAGAATATACAATGGAGAAAAGACAGCCTCTTCAGTAAGTGGTTCTGGGAAAACTGGACAGCTACATGTAAAAGTCTGAAATTAGAACACTCCCTAACACCATACAGAAAAATAAACTCAAAATGGATTAAATACCTTAATGTAAGGCCAGACACTATCAAACTCTTAGAGCAAAACATAGGCAGAGCACTCTATGACAT